CATGTCGAGTAGGTCATCCATGTCATACTCTCTTCCTTCCAGCACAGAGCTGATGATGTCTTTCTCAAATGGTGTGACGAACCTTGAATAAAACAATGTATAAAACAGATCAATTACAGTGCATAGTGGTAAATATATGTCATATTATTCAATGGCTCATTTAGCATGCAGCACCATTCAATTGGCAACAATACTACATTACATACCTCAGAAAAGATTCAATCAGCATGTCTGGTGTCACTTTGTTCTCCCCATGAAGGAGACAGACTGCAAAGGCCAACGACAGCTTCACTGGAAAGAATCCATGATCCTGGTACCCTTTTAGTAGAATTCTACCTACTGCCTCCCATTCTTCTTTTCCATACTCAGGCTGAAGTGCTGGGACACACTCAGTTTCCCCATCTGCACAATTCAGGAAAAAAGCTTCCCAAAAACCTGAATATGCATCCCGGGCAACACCTGATGCATCAATGCCACATTCATCAACAAAGATAACCGGCAGTCAGGTCTCCACAAAACTGGCATCTTTGAACTGTTCAATCATATCAGGAATGATGTTGACACAATGCAGTCTCGGCACCTTCGGAGCAGAGTCTTGATGTGTTACCACATGTGCTACGTCTCTTGACTGCAATGGTATCTCTTCTTGATGTGTTACCACATGTGCTACGTCTCTTGACTGGGATGGTATCTCTTCTTGAGGTGCATCTATGGAAAGTGTATCGTCAGAGGTGTAGTCAGGATCCTCCACTGGACCAAACTGTATTTCATCATCAGATGACAAACAGGTCTCGCCTGTTATGTAGCAGTCATCATTTTGTTCTGATGGTGTGTCTGAAGTTTCAAGATCCTCCAAAGAAGCTTCAGATTAGAAAGAAATAATAAAAAGACACTTTCTCATTTATAATTTATCTTAAATCTAATTTTGTTTAAAAAATTTGTGAGAAAATAGTATCATGAAACCAGTATCGTGAATCATCATCGTGAGTTGAGTGAATCTTTACATCCCCTACTTGTAATGTTGACCTGTTTTACTAAAATTAATTACCATAATTACTAAAATAATTCGTGTCAAATTAAATATATGCGGTAACTGCATTCAAAATAATGAACATGTTTAATATACATGTTTAAATAACCTTTTGCTCAATCATGCGATTTATCGTGTCCTCTGGCACTCCACGATTGCGAAGGAAGTTATACAGTTCATCCTCCTCCGCCATTACTACGATGATCTTGGCCCACTTTTCTCTGCGTTTGCTCCCGCCAGCTTTGACCTTCCTGTTGTGTTACGTTAAAATGTGGCCGATGTACAAATGTCCTATGGGCAAAAAACTCTTCTATCTATTCTGCAGTAAGTTCTACTCTTATCACGGACAGCAACAACAACTATAATAGATAAAATAATAATAATAGCCACAGTAGTGGTACCTGTAGTAGTGGTAGGCTAACGCAGTGCAAGCCAAGTTGATTAAAAAAAAGTGTTTCTGATCGGGCCAATAAAGGTCAAGCACATGAAGCAAAATAGGCCATCGAAGAAGAATTAATAGGCGATAATATGATTGTTTAAAGTTAACAAATAAACAAACTCTAACAGATAAAAAGCTGGCTGAAAGAGCAATACTGGCAATTAGCACAAAACCTCTGAGATATTGGAGCACCAACTTGTAAAAGTTCTTTAATTGATTCACTGTGTTATTCTGCCCTCTAGTGGCTTATATTGAAATTAATACAAACCTTAACATAATGAGACTTATGTCGAAATAACGAGTTATGTCGAAATATCAACTTATGTCGAAATAACGACTTATTATGACGAAGTAACGAGTTATTATATCGAAATAACGACTTAATATCTCGAAATAACGACTTAATATCTCGAAATAACGACTTAATATCCCGAAATAACGACTTATTATTTCGAAATAACGACTTAATATCTCGAAATAACGACTTAATATCTCGAAATAACGACTTATGTCGAAATAACGAGTTACTATGTCGAAATAACAACTTAATATCTCAAAATAACGACTTATGTCGAAATAACGAATTATTATGTCGAAATAACGACTTAATATCTCGAAATAACGAGTTATTATGTCAAAATAACGAGATACGTTTTATTTTTTATTTTTTACACCACCATAAGTTTTCTTTCTTTTTTTTCCCACCATGCGGTTCAGGGCTTCCGTAGTTCTGAGAAAGGAAAAATTTAAATTGCATCATATGACCCCTTTAATCTAGCCAGCATCGCTCCCCTCACTGTAGAGGGTCTTCTATGAGCATGCTGCTCCCTTCTGAGTGTCCGAGTTCCCTCCCCTTCAGAGGAGTTGAATTCCCCGCTCCGTGGGCTGTTCTCGTGATGGGCTTTAATAGTGCTCCCCTCATTCCAGAGGGTTGCCTATGAGCACACTACCCCTTTCTGAAAGAGTTCTTTGGAGTTCTTCTCTCACCCTGAGGGCTGAGTTCTCCGTTTCCCAAAGCTCCTTGAACCAGCAACATCAGGCGACTAGGCCCCTTCCTCTGCCTCCCTGATACGTTGCGCTTTTGGTTAAGCTTGCAAGACGCTTACCCTTCAGGATTTTCTAAGAACATGCTGTAGGTTGAGCATCTGTCTCCCCCTCTGAGAGCTGACTTCCCTTAGCTAGGTAACTTACTGCTAGCCAGACCAGGCTTATGACCATGATGATGGGTTGGTGACTCCTCATATGACGCATTGTTCTATGGGATGCGCCATTTTCATCTATGTGCTCTCTGTGTATGCTATGGACTGCTCTCTCAGAGTGCCACGGTCACGTAGGGTCTCTAGGCCTAGTCTAGTAAACAGCCTCTATGACACTTTAGTAATGGTATCTTTAAAATCCATGTTATGGTAAGTGCGCACGCTAAGTCTCTGTGCATTTCATAACAAACAAAACATCGTATTTTATTGCATTTCTCAACTGGAATGTTATATCAGAATTATTAGGGGCCAAGCACGAAAGGTGCTTAGGCACCTATTGTATTCATTGCCGTTATTCTTCTTCTTTCTGTTTCTTCTGCTATTGCGTCTATGGCAGCCCATAGAACCGCTTGCGGGAAAGTTGTGAAATTTGGCACACTGATAGAGGACAGTCTCAACATTAACCGTAACAAATTTGTCTCTATCTCAAACTCTCTAGCGCCACCACTTGCCACCTAGTGGTCAGGAGATATGAAAAATGCATATTTTTGCTTATAACATCTGATTGGTTCGGCCAAAAATCACAAAACTGGTCTCTTTAGATTAGGTGCAGCATGCCAAGTCGAATGATACCCAATTCTCCCATGTCAGCCCTTTTGGGCATCAGCCGTTTTGAATTTTGTAGTAAAATGCTATATTTTACGAATGCATTGACATATCTTTACGAAACGTGGTATGCTTCTTTGGCACCATACCCTGATGGTACTCAAAACGTTTTGGGGCAGTGCCAATTTGTGGTCAAAAGTTATAATGAAATTTCTAAATATGCTAATAACTTTTGTTTACACTAGCCCAGGGGTGGCGAACTCCGGTCCTGGAGAGCCGCAGTCCTGCAGAGTACAGCTCCAACCCTAATTAAAACTCACCAGCCTGTAGCTTCCTAGTAACCTTTCAGACCTTGATTAGCTTGTTCAAGTGTGTTTGATTAGGGTTGAAGCAAAACTCTGCAGGGCTGCGGCTCTCCAGGACCGACGTTCGCCAGCCCTGCGCTAGCCTATTGTAATGAAACTGGTTTTGATATATTCCATGGATCATACCGAGAATATCGATACCAATTTTGCCATAATTAGCTGAACTTCCTGTCCACCATTATGATTCATGTTGAAAACCTACTTTTTCGAACACCTCCTAGACCATTAGTCCGATTTTCACCAAATTTGACTCGGATCATCTTCAGACCAAGCTCGCAAAAAAAGTTATGGATTTCGTGTCGATATACAAAACGATTTACATTTAGTGCATCAACGAATTTGCTGGAAAGATGCCAAAATGCATCTGAGGCTGTATCTCTGCAAAGCTTTGACATATTTACACCAAACTTTGTATATGTCATTGTCACCTCACACTGACCAGGCCATATCATTTTAGTAACAGCGCCACCTATTGGTCAAGAGTGGTAAACCATTAATTATGACATTTCCAAAAATGCTCATTTTTGATTGCATAAGCCTATTATAATGAAACTGGTTTCAAAATATTCCTTGGGTCATAATGACAACATAGATACCAATTATGCCATAGTAAGCCGAACTTTCTGTCCGCCATTTTGATTTTCTTTAAAAACCTACTTTTTCGAACTCCTCCTAGACCGTTGGTCTGATTTTTCACCAAAATTGAATCATATCATCTTCAGACAATGCTGACAAAAAAGGTATGGATTTTGTGTTGATAGACAAAACCACTTTCACATACCACAGCAACGAATTTGAGGTATGATGCCAAAATGGCACTTGAGGCTGTATCTCTGCAATGATTTGGCATATTGACACCAAACTTTGTGTGTGCCATTGTCAACTCACACAGAACACACCACATCGATTTGATAACAGCGCCACCTATTGGTTAAACGTGATAAGCCAATAAATCATGTTACTACAGGTTGTATTTATGATTTTCAGCCGTTTTGACTAAAATCATCCTAAAATGACTTCAACTACTCATTTCTGCAGTTGGTCTGATGCTTGCTTCTGTAGTGCTTGGCCCTGTAATTGCTGCTTGCAGCTATATTTAATAATGTTTTTGTCATTCTAGATTATGAAATGCCTGCTGACAGCGCGGTTTATCTATGCTTTTACACAGAACTATACTCAAACCGTGATCGCTCGCAGAGATAATAAATAATTTATTTCAAAACAGTTCTGAAGCATGCATTTTGTTTGTTTGCTGACAGACACCAGTGTTTCTCACAGACTTGCACATGCGAATTGATTCTCTGCCAGCAGGAGGCGCTGTTGGAGCGGGAGATATAGCGGTTTCCCCGGTAATGGCTGCAATCTAATAAACTCTACTTTATCAGGCATTACAGGAAAGACGAAACGAAAATGACATTGTAGCTTTTCTGAAGACAGTCGGTTCTTTTCAAAGATACATTCATATAAAAACACCCGCGCTGCATTTTAATTTTGAAACGCGCAGTGCTCAGTTTATTCAACGAAGTGATAACTCAATGTATGGGAAACACTGGACACTGCTATAAGTCAAATGGCCAAGAGATAACAAGAATAAAAGAGTTCACACGTATTACACAGCCTGCTGTTCATAACTGCTTAAGAGTGCGCTGGCCACGAGCGATGACATCGTGGAGGCTATTGTCGGACCCACACACACATTTCATGAGGAAAGCTAACGTGCACGTTATAATCAGCCCAGACGTTTCGTCTGAACTGCACGTGTTTCTACTTTCACATGCAAATGACTTGTTGCACTTATGAATATGATAACTTTCCGGCATCAATTCTAGTAGGGTAAAACATAATTCCTCTTTGGAAATGGTCTGTACGTGTCCTGCCATCATTAGCTGAAGCTGTGTGTGATCAAGAAGCGGCTGCAGAGTGTGAGCTGCTCTGTCTCACGCAGCCAGAGAGAGATTCTCCGGAGCTCTGCAACAACGCTTAGCTGCCCACAGATGCGCCTGCCTATAAATCGGCCTAGTTTGCAGCACAATTGTCAGATGCCGATTAATGAAAAAATGCCAAAAATCAGCCGGCCAATCAATCAGTCGACCTCTAGCTTATATAGTAAATGTTAATACAATTTATGGTGTTTTAAACAAGTGAATCTTTTTAAAAGTTACATGCGGTGGCCATGCTGCCCACTGAGTGAACAGCAACATGAAAGTGACTTCACAAGACTGATGAGCATATAGACAACAGAGAGAGAATTAAATTCAGCACTTTTATTTCCAACATCCGCTCATTCATGGTTGTACTATTTAATTCATGCAAAGTTACGTCTTTATTGGGAGAGGACTTGACGGATTGCCTACGTGACTCCGACTTCACGAGACTAATGATGAGCATATAGACAACAGAGAGAGAATTAAATTCAGCACTTTTATTTCCAACATCCGCTCATTCATGGTTGTACTATTTAATTCATGCAAAGTTACGTCTTTATTGGGAGAGGACTTGACGGATTGCCTACGTGACTCCGACTTCACGAGACTAATGATGAGCATATAGACAACAGAGAGAGAATTAAATTCAGCACTTTTATTTCCAACATGCTCAATGCATATTATTTAATTCAAGCCCTTTATTGGGACAGACTGACGGATTATCTTACGTGACTCCGTGAGTTCGTCTCTATTTCGTCGAGCCAAGCTGCACAAACTGCATATCAGGCATTTATGTAATACATCTAATTTGTGCATTAATGGCTGTTATGTTAAATAAAGTTTACTAACTATAGCAAATCAAGTACTTGCATGCCGTTGTTGTCTCATTTCCCCTTAGAGGCGCTGCAATGGCTGCAATAATGTGCGCAATTCTCAAAACACCCACAAGATGGCAGCGTTTATCTGTGAATCCGATATTACAAAACCGATATTCGATTATGGTAAAATGCTTAAATATCAGGAAAAATATCAGTAAATCGATATTTCGTCAATCTCTAAAATATATATGTCATTATGACAATATTAAGTTTTAAGTTACACACAGTGCTCACTCACAGTCTCTCTGTAAAAATCCACCTGTTACAAGTGATCCACTGAGAATTTGTTCCTCACACCCACGTTGTGGAGGTTAATGTTAAGAATACCCCACAACATTGTGTTGTCATGTGTTTCATTAACTCTAGCCTATATAATAATAATGATAATAGTAATATGCTAATTACTATCTCCAGTTACATTGCTCCAGTATGTTACATTCTTCGTGCCAATAGTTCTGGTCTGTCCAGATTCCAGCTAGCAGCTCCATTAAATGTTTATAATAAAACAGCCATCTATAACAACAGAAAATTTGGATTACAACGAAATTATTACCATCTTTGATTCAAAACCCAGACGACTATGGCTTGTTTAGAACAGACATCCATCATTAAAGGTAAGGTTATATGGGTAGGTTTTAGTCTGGCCCGCCGTGGCATGGTTATGCAGTATTTGCATTGAAATATTTGTGAGCAAGGGATTTTCAGGAATGTACAAACTGCAAAATAATAGCATATTGGCAAATGCACACTTGCGAATCCTCTCATTATAACAAACAAGAATAGACACAGTGTAAATTAGAGATTAAATGTGCAGTGTAGAGAGATTCATTGATTATGACAGAACTTTGTGAGATCGCGATGAACTGAAGGTAGTGGCAGCTTATTATAAAGGGAGCACTCTTTGCGCGCTTTCTAGGCTTAGGCTATAATGGGTAATAAGGGTTTATTAGTGGAGCACAGGGCAACCTCACTAATGAAGCAGTGAAATGGCTCTGAAACCAGGCATGCACTTGTCACTTTAATGGTTTCAGATAGCTGATCAGATAGCTATCCGATTAGTTAAAACTGTTCCATGTACACATGATCTTCAATTCCTGCACTAATAGGGGAGAATGAGCATCATCAGTGGTGAGAGAATTTACTTTCACCACTTTTAATTAAGATGAATGCATTTTGAGCCCCTGTATGCGATGCAGAATTTTCAGTTTTATTTGCGGCAGTTTGCATGTCTGCTTGCTGTAGAGAGACGTTCATCTCTGGCGGATCATACAGTATCTGTGAAGATGTGTGTTGCAGTAGCGCTGTGGTAAAATTAATATCTTGTTCAACAACCAGATGCATAACACTTGTCCAGTTGCATCTGGAATTCATGCAGACACAAGATCGGATTGCAATCGAATACATTTCGGGACAGTCCATTGTTTTTTTTTTCTTTCTTTCTTTCTTTCTTTCTTTGTATTTAATTACTAATTAATTTTATAATAATAAATAATAATAATTATTATTGTTATTATTAGGCTATTGTTATTAATGAGCCGGGTGATGTGAATTATTCAGGCCCAGACACCAACCACTATCTGTATCTGCCACTGACCCACATATGTACTGTCAGCAGTGGTGGATAGAGAAACTGGTTAGTGGGTGGGCCTCTAAAAGACTGGGTGGGCCTGAATAATTCATCACAGATATGACCCACCAGAGATGAACATCTCTCTACAGCAAGCAGACGTGCAAACTGTCGCAAATGAAACTGAAAGTTCGGCTTTGCATCCAGGGGCTCAAAACATACTCATCTTAATTAAAAGTAGTGAGACTAAATTCTCTTACCAGTGATGATGCTCTCACTCCCCTATTATCGCAGGGATTGAAGATAATAATAATAATTAATTACATTCATATAGCGCTTTTCTGGGCACTCAAAACTCTTTACATAGAAGGGGGTCTCTCCTCATTCACCAGCAGTGTGCAGCATCCACCTGGATGATGCGCCGGCAGCCATAGTGTGCCAGAACGCCCACCACACACCCGCTTACTGGTGGAGAGGAGAAGGAGTGAAGAAGCCAATCAGCAGATATGGGGATGGTTAGGAGGCCATGATGGTCAGAGGACAATGGGCAAATTTGGCCAGGATGCCAAGGTCACACCTCTACTTTTCAAAAGACATCCTGGGATTTTTAACGACCACAGAGTCAGGACCTCGGTTTAACGTCTCATCTGAAGGACGGTGCTTTTGGGCAGTATAGTGTCCCCATCACTACACTGGGGCGTTAGGACCCACACAGACCACAGGGTGAGCGCCCCCTGCTGGACTCACTAACACCTCTTCCATCAGCAACCTAGTTTTCCCAGGAGGCCTCCCATCCAGGTACTGACCAGCTCAACCCTGCTCAGCTTCAGTGGGTGACCAGTCTTGGGCTGCAGGGTGATATGGCTGCTGGCTAAAGATCATATTTATATTCTTTTTGAGGACATATTTATGTGGCCATGTGTAAATGGAACAGTTTTAATAAATCGGATAGCTATCTGATCAGTAAAAACGCATAAAGTGACAAGTGCATGCCTGGTTACAGAGCCATTTCACTGCTTCATTAGTGATGGTGCTCTAAGTACAGATTTACATTTACATTTACATTTAATCATTTAGCAGACGCTTTTATCCAAAGCGACTTACAAATGAGGAGAACAATAGAAGCAATCAGACCAACGAGAGAGGAACAGTATACAAGTGCTGTGACCAGTCTCAGTTAGCACAGTACTAGCACAGTACACATAGCTAGTTTTTTTTATAGAATAGAATAGAATAGGTAAGTGCTAGTATTAATTGGTCAGGTGCTGGCGGAAAAAAAAGATGTGTCTTTAGACGTTTTTTGAAAATGGCTAAAGACTCAGCTGTTCGAATTGAGATCGGGAGGTCATTCCACCAGCTGGGCACAGTCCAGGTAAAGGTCTGTGAGAGTGATTTTGTGCCTCTTTGGGATGGCACCACAAGGCGCCGTTCACTTGCAGAACGCAAGCTTCTGGAGGGCGCATAAGTTTGAACTAGTGAGTTTAGGTATATTGGTGCAGCGCCAGTGGTTGTCTTGTAGGCAAACATCAGTACCTTGAATTTGATGCGAGCGGCTACTGGTAGCCAGTGTAACCTGATGAGGAGAGGAGTAACATGAGCTTTTTTCAGCTCGTTAAAGACCACTCTGGCTGCTGCATTCTGGATCAGTTGCAGAGGCTTGATAGTGCATGCGGGAGGGCCCGCCAAGAGAGCATTACAATAGTCCAGCCTGGAGAGAACAAGAGCTTGGACAAGGAGTTGTGTGGCTTGCTCTGACAGGAATGTTGTATAAGGCAAAGCTGCAGGACCGGGCCGTTGTAGCAATATGGTCTGTGAAGCTTAACTGATCATCCATCACAACTCCAAGGTTTCTGGCTGTCCTGGAAGGAGTTATGGTTGATAAACCCAGCTGTATAGAGAGGTTGTGATAAAGTGCTGGGTTGGCCCGAGACCACGAGCAGTTCTGTCTTAGCAAGGTTGAGCTGAAGGTGATGGTCCTTCATCCAGCCAGAAATGTCTCTCAGACAGGCTGCAATGCAAACAGCTACCGTCGGATCATCTGGTTGGAATGAGAAGTAGAGTTGAGTGTCATCAGCATAGCAGTGATAAGAAAAGCCATGATATTCATTCAGCATTCAAACTGCGTGTCGTGTTCGGTTACTACAGTCAAAACGATGAAACTCTCTTCAAGAGCGCTCAATAACAGATTTAAAACTGTTCAAAGAAAAGGCTCAAACTATTGCACAGATATAATACACTACGCATCAATATCTCTTCCCTTTGTGCTTTGAACTTTACTATGCTGCACGCTACTGCTTTGTGCCGCTCTGTATTGGAGCCATACCCTTTCGTATTATAATACTCGTCATGCGCAATGAAGGATTATGAATAGTCTTTCTTGTTCTGTGCTATCTATCATATGTTGCTGCCTTCATTACTGTGCAATACATTTAAAAGAAATGTCTTTTAATTTATAGTATATATATTTACTTGTTTTTCATGAATGTATTTTACAACAATACAAAGAGCAATGTATAACATTTTACCAGACTTAGTCCTACACTTATTAACTTTTATTTGTTCCCCACTAAATAATGTTGTTTCACTAAATGTTTAGATTTTATAAAATTATTGTGCACCCATGATTCTTCTAGACTAGAGTATCTTTTGCTGCTGAATTATCCACTAACCATTTTCCAGCGATATCGTTTTAAACTAACTGAGCTGGATGTTGACATCACTGAATTCAATGATGAACTGCCTTTAACGGAAAATTGAGTGTTTACTATTGTCCTTTTTCATTATTGACACTTTATTTTCCTAATTAATGCTGTTCAGTTGCTTTGACACAATCTGTATTGTTAAAAGCACTATATAAATAAAGGTGACTTGACCTAGTTTACAATAGTATTTTTTGTCATAGATTATGATTACATCTTTTTTCATTGTTATTTTGCATTTAAATGAAGTTGTCTGTATATAGTATATTGTGTTTAACACACAAAAGAGTGATGATCAGGTCAACACAGAGGGATATAAATGTGACATTGATTTAAAGATAACTGCGCTGGTATCAGATCGGATCGGTATCGGTATCGGCAGATACTCAGAAGAGGATTTTAGCAGGATTGGGTAATGGTAATTGCATGTGATTCAAATGAACTGTTGCCTATAAGAGATGTTAGAAGAATTTCCATTCATTTGAGATAAGTAGACCAGTACCTCCACCCCTCCCAATCGTGCGAGGGGTGTGGGAACAAGTGAAATTAGTGGAGAGGGCTGTAGGAGTGGCAGTGTCCTCAGGTTTGATCCAAGTCTCAGTTAGGGCCCTGAGGTTGAGGCCGGAATAAATTCTGCTTTGTTTACAGCAGACTGGCAGGTCCAGAGGCCAATTGGGATAGAGAGTAAAGTAGTAGAGGACAGAGGGACAGTGCGCAGATTGCCTCCAACGTACAGTGCGTGATTTACATTGCTTATCGCACATATATTTAGAAAAAAAAATATGTTTGTCCCATCCATTGCCATTGCAATCACTATAATGTCAATCATTGCAGTTTCAAAAGTGAATACCGCATATAGACAGATGCCACTTGTGACACTTTACAGCATTTACGTGGCTGTAGGACAAAGAATTGCATCACTAAAAATAAGCCCTTTATTCAAATTATGAATGGATTATAGCCTAAGCCTAGAAAGCATGCAAAGAGTCGTCTGGGTTTTAAACTGAAGATGTTGATAATTTCGTCATAATTTCTGTTAGTATAGATAGCTGTTTCTATTATAAGCGTTGAAGGGAGCTGCTAGTTAGAATCCAGACAGACAGCTATGGGTACGAAGAACGTAATATACTATTATCATTATTATTATATAGTTCTAATGAAACACATGACCATACAAATCACATGTGAAGAAATAAATGAAAAACAAATGTAAATAGCATGCACCTCTACCAAGCTGTGTCAGGTATAGTGTAAAGCGCTATATAAATAAAGGTGATGTGACTTGACGTCATAATAGCAAAAGCCCAATTCTCGGCTGTGTTTGAAGGCAGCATTGCTATTTCACTATCTCCATATCAAATGAAACATTAGGACACTCATATGGCATTATTCAAAAATATCGCTCATTTCTGTAGCGCTTGACATTTTAATAATGATCAAATGACTGAGATCAGCTTTAAGAATGGACACCAACCTGTCTGTTCCTCAGATTCTTCATGTTTCACTCTGAATGCATCTTCAATCTTCATATCTTCACTCTCCTCATTAATAAACCATCTTTGTAATAGCCGTGTGGATCTCAGTTGTTTCAACAGGAGTTTTTCTGTGTGTTTGGACACTCTGTCACGATTAAGACAGGAATAATTAACAGAGAAAAATAAATGCAAACTAAATCTCTGAGAGTCTGAATCAGCGCCCTAGTTCAGTAGTCAGCACACTGAAAAGGGAGTGATAGTTAGTGGTCATAAAGGACCTGATACGCCAGGCCCAGGACATCCACCAAAAAACAAACAAATCAGGTACTACTTAATAAAAGACACATTCTACAACCACTTCAGATTTAGTTCTTATTTCTAGAGTTGATTTAATAGAGTACACTTTAGAGAAAGCATTCATTTGTAAAAGTTGTCATCACGTGTGTTTGAGTTCTCGTTGCATTTACACTGTTTGATCAGCAGATGTCATCAGCGTGCACTTTTCAGAAAAGTGCCTCGAAACAGCGAAACATTTTGAGAAAAATGTGCTTTGATTGACTCCAGCTCCGTTTGTCCATCACTGCTTTCCAGTATGTGAATTCATGTTTACGGTCAACTGATTCAGGAGACACACCTTTTCTGTTACTCACGTTAGGATGCACTTTACTCAGTACTTTACTAGTTTTCAGTAAACGGATTGAATGGGTTGCATCGATATAAACACTTTAAATCAGGGGTCTCCAAACTCGGTCCTGGAGGGCTGGTGTCCTGCAGAGTTTAGCTCCAACACACCTGAACCAGCTAATCAAGCTCTTACTAGGCATACTAGAAATTTCCAGGCTGGTGTGTTGAGGCAAGTTGGAGCTAAATTCTGCAGGACACCGGCCCTCCAGGACCCAGTTTGGAGACCCCTTCTTTAAATACTTGAAACACATGCTTTTCTTCAGTTGAGAAGCAGGAGCGCGGTGCGGACAATGACAGACCAAAATAAAAGTCCTGTTTACACGCTAAACTCATAAACATTGTCTTGTGAAAGTAGAAGCAGGCATTTGTGGTGTTTCATAGTCAACCCATTTTTCCCATTTTAATGTAAACTGTTACACACACATTGTTTTCCATTCTTCCTCAGATATTCATCCTTCCTTCTCCCATTTTATTTTAATACAAGAGGTTGAATGCTTTCAGATTTAACAAACATACAGGAAAAGTGACATGTTAACATTCATAGCTTTAAGCCAATTTCGCCTTGGACTAATTGTCTCTCCTGCCTTAGAAAACAGCCTCTCTGCTGGAACAGAGGCGGCAACAATTCCAAGGTATCTTTTTGCCAATTTGCTGAGGAAATATGATCTCATTTTTTCTCCACCAGAGCCAAGGATCCTCACTTTGTCTTCCATGTCAGAGCGTGTTGTGTGGTTCTCCTGAATAACCAAGATATGTGTGGCAAACTCCTGCCATAATCCTCCCTTGGATGTTGAGCAGTCTTTGCAGCTTTGCAGCAATTCAATGTAATTCATTATGAAGCAATAGTCTCATCACTGCTCTATGAGGTCTTACTTTAACCAGCGTATTTGTGGTATTTGCCTTAAATTGATTTCTAGGACACTTTTTAACTTTATGAAGGGGAAAATTTTCCTAACCTTACTTAAATGTACATGTCATCGTTTACGTCAAATTCTTAAATTTTATCAATACATTCAGTTAGAATAATAAGGCTCTGTATGGTTGTTACCATACAAATGAAATCAGTATCAACACACTCCATCTTTCCACTGCAGAGGAAACACTGAAGCTGCATCGATAATGCCATTTAGATGTATTTACTCAGACTGTTTAATGAAGATAAGAGGTTCCATAAATGCATTTACACAGTAAAATTGCAAATGCATAATGTTATAAGATTTTAAGAAGGTTTTACTTTTTTAACATATAAATGTGAAATGTTGGAAAAATGCAATGATACTTTTAAATATGATACCAAAAAACCAGTAGGTGGCAGCAAGTCACTGTCTTAATGAGTGAGTCACTGATTCAACCAATTCGTTCAAATGGCTAATTCATTCATTAAATAAAGCAAGTGACTGTCTTACGAATGGCTCACTGAATCATTGACTCACCTGATTCGTTAAAAAATGCTGAATCATTCAGTAATTATTGTAAGTTAAAAATGTAAGTCATTTAATATTAACTACTTGTTTATTAAACTACTGTTGTATAAAATCAATGTCACATTTGCAATCGTGCTGGTGCTTGGTCGTGTGATGTTGCTTACCTATTTCATATGTTATATAGAAGATTTATCTTTTTTCTATCACAGTATGTATGTTCATGTTTGTTTCTTTGTGTGTGCTGTTGCGCCTATTAGTTTGGATTTCTCCGTGACTCTGCGTTAGGAATAACGTTAGGCTGCACAAGCCTCAACTGATGCAACCTTGATACTGTCAATGCATTATCCATTATCAGTCGCCGTTTACACTGAAAGTAATAAAATCAGAAGCATTCTCACCAAAGTTATGGTGCTGCCCTAGTTATTGTTTGTTATTGATGTTTTAATCAGGTTACTTGTCCAGTTGGGCAAGTAAAATTCTCTTTCACTTGCCCCTTCACAAAATCCACTTGTCACGGACAAGTGTTAATGTCGAGCCCTGGAATGTGTTTACAGTGGGTTTTCTGAGACCATATTAGCTCCATTGTCGGTTATAACAGCATGGACCTTGCTGGAAATGAAAGTCTTCAGATATTTTTGTGAGGAGTTCAGATATATTTTGTGCTGTGTGCTGTACAGTTAGATGGACTCGAGATTGCAAGCCTGCTTCTGCCAGTTCTGCTCAATAAAATACTCTGATACAGACAAACATGCTTCAGCTGTTCTTGATGTCCACATGTCACTTGTTAAAACCATACTGCTTGCAGACTCTATTGAGTCTTTCACCTTTTTAAACAAGATCAGTTAGTTGGTACAAAGTTTTTACGGTTACATCACAATGATATTTTGGCAATCATCCCCCAAATATTCCCTCAAAATTTTAGACTTGTTTCTCAAAAAAGAGAATGCATGCAAGTAATTTAATCCCTTTTAAATTGAATTATTATTTCTTTAGTCACCGTACTTCGTAATCCTTGACTCAGGAAAGTCACACAATCAGTGGTAAGTCAACAAATGTAAGTACATAATAAGTGCCATTTTGATCAATTTATTGTCTGGACAATGTGCCATACATACGTAGATGCACCACCTAACCAGTTTGTTTTTTGTAGGAATGAGGCATTTGTTCATGAGCACAGATGATTCAGTGAGTATATGTCAGCACATGTATGTATGTATATATCAGTGGCGTTCCATCCATATAAACTGAATGCTCCGCATACCCAGGCCATTTGAGAGAATAAGTTCACGGGATAATTTATATAAACATGATTATATGTTGATCCCTTGTCATTTGAAATGTAACTTAAAGCTTAAAGAGTTAGGAATAAGTATGTAAAATGATTTATTTGCCAGACGGCAGTAAGTTTCTTTAAATCTACCAGTTGCAGTTGCTTCTGGGCGAGCTGATTCTCTGCAGCTTTCTCGTCTCCGCTCTGTTGCTCTGAGTCGTCAGGACTGTAGCGTGTTCTCAGTGATTTGCTGGTCTGCGGCTGATTTAATGCGCGAGGCAAGCTGTCTGTGAATCGCTCGCCCAAGCGGAAAAATGTGCTGTTGCTGTCAGATCTCGATTTCCGCAAATCGCATTGTGTTTGATGCTAAACCAACTCGACTAAATCAAAAGATAAAAATACTAGCTGTATATATATATTTTTTTTTTCTCAAGCAAAGCAAATTTTAAAAGTCCACTCAAAACATATCTTACATTTTTGATCATAGACAACGTGTTAAAGATATACGTTATTGCCTAAGCGGTAAATAAATAAATAATTTTTTTATAAAAACGTGGACTATATAAAATTTTAATAACAACAAACATCATATTGTTCCCTTTATTTTGCGTATGCTCGTGTCGCTTACAGTTAAAGTCCTTCTCTGATTTTATTATTGTTTGCAAGGTTGCAATGTTACTTTGCAATATTTTAAATATTTTGGGGTATTTTGCATGGTCTGTTATTGGAGTAGTGTCACCCGGGGGGGAATTTTAACTCCTATTCACTGGGAATAAATAAATTATTTAGTTGATGCAGAGAGACATAAAGAGTCTCCCCACCCTCTGATTATGTATCATAATGTAACTACATGTAAACTTTCATTTGAATAATGGATAAACTTGAAACAATAGAAGAAGGATTGGAGATGAATTTCATTCACAAATAAGGTAGGAAATGTGCATACTTTAAATCGACACCTGCCGCAGTGTTTCTTAGCTATTTGTCATCTGTGATCCCTTTAGAGTGTCCTAAAAGCTGATGTGGGGGGTCTTATCGCTCAGCATACCTGGTTAAAAAAGTCACCGCTCGCCACTGGTATATATACAGTATATATATATATATATACAGTATATATTAGAGATGCACCGATTGACCGGCCAGTGATCAGAATCGGATGATTTTTCGCATGGCCGGCCCGGATTGGTGACCGGCGGTCAGTATGTCTTGCCTATTCCGAGCCTATCCTTTTATTGCCAGTGGTGCCGGTGTTCTGACGATTTGTGCTTCCCGCTAAGAGTGTACTACCTCCCATTAAAAAGATAGGTAGCACAAATCGATAGCAAAAAATGCTACCTATCAGATTGTGCTACCAGCATCTTATTCATGTGGTTTGAGGATTTTTTTTTAAATGTCCATACCTACCCTTACCCTAAACGTACCCTTAAAACAATGCTAATATATTTTTGGTAGCACAATCTGATAAGTAGCATTTTTCGTCGGTACACCTGCAATGACGTCACAGCCACGCGCACACTCACAGTCGCATGTAAACATGTCGTTTCGTGTGAGAATGATTCTAATTTTAATTGCATTGTATACGGCGACTGATAATGTTATGTCGTGCCAGATGAGGCTTGCACTGCCTGAGTGAGTGTGTGAGAGAGACAGCACACACAAAGTCACTCACAGAAATGTATAGATGCATACTGCGGTAGAAAAA